TTGCTGCTGTTGCACGTTCTGCAGCAACTGTAGTTGCTGCTGCTGGTGCTGCATGCCATGTTGCTGCTGCTGCTGTTGCTGCTGCTGCTGTAGCGCCAATGCTGGCGGCGGCATTATATAGTCCATTCTCATTCCTGAGATCGCTATTTGTTAAATTCCTTGTTCACTTCAGAGTTATTTATTGCATGTATCACTTAGCTGGCCATGTGTGGCCCAAACATTCTGCTGCTGCGGCACTGGCTGCTGACTTAATTAACAACAAATTGGAATTTAGAACCGAGAAGAGCTTTTTATCGCACGTTGCTGCTGCTGCTGCCGCTTCTAATTGCTCGTGGCGATCACCCGCACAGCAGCAACATCAACTTGAGAGCGAGCTTACTGTTCTACACTTTGGTACTCAGAATATGGCGAGTGCTTTGGCTCAGTTTTTGTCGCCGTTTTTTTTTTGCATTCGCAATTTTTTCTATTGTTTGTTTTGTTTGCCTTTTTCTATTATTATTCGTTGTCAACTATTCCGCGTACTGAGCGTTGTTTTATTTAATTTTTTTTTTATCTGTGTGTGGGGCTGGGCCCGTTTGTTGGGGGTTCAGTTCTCGCTGCCCGCCGCTTTTGAATGAGAAAAGTTTGACCTTGAGGCGGTAATACAAAAAAACACCCAGCGAAATATTTTTGCTATGCGTTTTGCTATTTTTCAGGCTGATCGTCTCACTTATTTTCTGTGGGTTGACGTTCAAGCGAATTTTTATTAAGTATTGGTTCTGTTTTTTTTTTTGGAGTCAATGATTGGCTTGCATTTATTTATTGACAATTTCTGGTATTACAGAATATTTTATTTATTGTAATAGCTTTAGAAAGATCTTGTAATATGAGAAGAGGTTTGTTACCGAAATTCGAATTTAAACAGTATTTTTATCTTTTTTCAGCTTTTAATTTTGCTTAGTTAGTTTAAAGTTCGCTTGTAAATGTTGTACTTATTTTGTTTTATGATATACTTTAATGAGCTTTTTAATAATTTTCTAAAATTACAGCTTGTTTCTGTCATAAGACTTTTATTGGGGAAGTTGTTAAAATGACGGGCTAAGTTTTTTTATTTTTTCATGACTAAAAACCACTTTATTACTTGGTTTATAAAATAGTTTTGTCTTTGAAATTTATTTCTTTTTATAAAATTGTTTTATTTTTTATTTAATTTGTTTGCAAACTCATAAACACCTTTGATTTATTTCTTATGTTTTATTTTGTATATTTAATCCATTTCGCAATTTCTATGCTTATTTATTTATGTTGTATATATGCTTTTCCCGTACAAATTCTATATGTTTTTAATTCAGGAATTTCACTTTAATGATCTTGGGATCACAACAATTTGTATATATTATGAAAGGGAGGGGGAGATCATTTCATTTCGAGCACTGCACAATACTTTTTAATCCAAGCTGGGGGCTGCTCCTAGAGGATCGATCCTCGCCAAAAACCGTTGGGTGGAAGATAAAGGAAACGAAAGTTCACAAGTTCGCACGAATTCGAAAGCGCCGTGCTAAAGACGAAGACACGCGTCGTATACGTATTATTTTATGGCTTTTTGCTCTGCGCCGGCTCTTGTATTGGTGAGTGGGATTTGAGTTTTCGGAATTGGATGGTTGGCGATGGCTATATATCTATATATTATTTGAATTGGTTTTTTTGGTGGAGAGCCGTGAACCGAACCGGTGCCGCCGGACTGCGAACGCTGAGTGAACGCGCGCGTCGCCAGCGCGATGAAACGCAGCTTCGCAGCTGAGCAGAGAAAAGGCAGAGAAGCAGTGAAAAGCCGAAGAAGCGAGAAAAAGAGCCGACGAAAAAAGAAACAAAAAACACAAACACAAATAAAAGCCAAACTTAAAACCGAAACCATGAAAGCCCTCTCACCCACCCCGTCTACCTCTCTTGCTCCCGCCATTCGCTTTTTTGCGCATTCCGCCTGTTTACTTTCTTTCGCGCAGCCTGCCAAAGTTCGCCTCTGCCGGCGTCGACGTCGCAGTCGCCACGCTTGGCGGGAGCTGCGCTGCCGACGCCGACGTCAATGCGGAAGCAGATTTTCCGCTGCCGGCGAAAGCAGCAGCTTTGTTTTGAGTCAATCCCAAAAGCTCTCGGCTCGCCTAATTGAGTGCGATTTTCTGAGCTCAAATGTGTTTTTTTTCGTTTTTTAAAACTTTTAATTTGCGATATGTGAAAAACTTGACTCTTAAACCATAAAAAAAAATATAACTTTAAAAGTCTCAGGTATTTCTGGACATAAAACATTTTATCCTGCCGTTATCTTTTTACCAAAAATGATTAAAATAAAACTTAGACTTTATAAAGTTTAGATATAATCTTCACCATTTGTATATATTCTCACCATATATTTGGTAATATTATATTTTCAGCATTTGGGCTTTATATTTTGTTGGATTTAATATTTGTGTTCCTTTATTATTATTTTTAAAAGCCTTATTTTTCTGTATATGATGAGTGTTAGTCGATGAAACAAGACAAAAGCTTACCAACAAAACGCTTAGACAAACGTAGAAGTACTTTGATTCACAAAAAAGGGAAGTTTGTGATGCTTACCTATAAATAGAAGAATAATAAAAATTTGATTAAACTATTGCCTTTATAAAATAAATTAAGAGTAAAATATTATTTCAAATTATTTAATATATTTATACCCATTAAAGTAAATGACCATTTATTGAAAGTTATTTGGCTCTGTCAAGGGTGGCGGAAATTTCCCATGCATGGGGTGCCCACCCACAGCGGCAACTGACATTTATCCATTTTAGCTTTCCCCGCTCTTCCCACATATAAAAACGAAATTCCTACAAATTATTATACATTCGGGCTTTAAAAGGTCATTTCCAGTATATTCAAAAGCGAAAAATTTTACCGGCAGCGGCAAAAATTACAAACAATCGAGAGGGTGATGTGGAAGACCAACCACATTTCATTTGCCATATGCATTTCTATATCATCTGCCATAAAAATCTCATCAGCCTAATTCCGAAATCTAATCAAACCAAATGCATTTTCTCAACGGTGACCAACTGAGGTCAGTTCTAAAAAAAAAAGGGAAATGGAAAAACAAGGAAATTGGTGGCAGCTTAGTCGCGATTTTCAAAAGGATTTATGCCAAATGCATTGACAAAGTAGATCAAAAAGGGTGAAAGGATGTGCCAAAAAGAAAGCTGAAAATTTTCAGCATTGAAAAACCTTTTAGGCTTGCCAAAAGCAAACTAAATGCCAAATGTGTCCGTTTAATTATTATTAAATTGAGAATTTAACGGCATATCAAATAATTTTCCAGTTCAAATTACCATAAAAAATGAGAATTCCCGAAGGAAAAGTAATGTGAGAGCTGTAAACTGATAAGATATAGACATTTGTGTATATAGGCACTTTACATTATAGAGCTATATAGCTATTAAATATAGTTATTTTTACTGCATCGCAGTTTGGCGTAGGTCGCAAAAATAAATTGCTATTTATCTAGTATAAAAGAAAATATAAAACTAATGAAATTTCCCTTGTGGTAGGCTGTAAACCAATAAACTTGACGATCCCTCGGTGCAAAAATACATTTGCAAATATATCTAAATTTTCTATTCCACTTCCTATTCGATTCGAACAGTCGACGTCAGTGAGTACAGAATAAATGGGGTATATATATGAATATATATGTGTAGTATACTATATAGGAGCCCAGCTGAGCTCACGTGTGCGCCGCAAGCTTTCTTGACTTTTGCGCTTTACAAGCTTGAAATGCGCAAAGTTCTCGGCCGCTGACGTCGGATGATATCAGCCCCCGGGATGCAGATAGACGTTCTTCAGACATTTCTCGAAGGGTTGGCAACTATACTATACTTGACAACGGGGTAGTCATTTTCTAATGCAGAACAAACCGTGGAGAAAATGAAAAATCACCGAACTAGTCATACATTTTATCAGTTGTTTTCGTTTTTCACTGCTTGTAATGCATTTTTATTTTGCATTTTTAAAGCCAATTAGTTATTCAGAAAGCTAATGTAAATGTTGTCTAGGTTTGACAACTTTAGAAAATAATAAATACTTGAGGGATAGAAATAATACCTATTGTAGGTATTATTAATATTACAAAATATTTCTTGATAATTTGTTACTCTATTCGAGTATTAGAAATATACCAAATTTAGAGCTGATTCAACCCAACAAAAAGTCGTCCAAAAATCAAAAATTTCATACAAAAAAAGTCACAAAATTTTGGTTGAAGTTTTTGAACGGCAGTACTAATGCCTCACAAAAAACACTAAAATCTAAAATCTGTCAAGCAGTTCCGAAAACAGCCTAGTGAAATCCTTAACGAAATTGGATAAAATACACTCTCAAAGGCAGAAGACTATTTACAATTACTATCGAGTACTGTAAAAATGGATTATATTGCAGCATACGGTTGATTTCGCTTTTATAATACAATTTGAAAAATCAAATGTTAGGTTTGCTTATGTTTGTGACCGAAAAAGGGCACGGATATTACCAAATTTATCAACACTGGACCCCCAAGAACTAATTGACGGAAAATATTCTGGGTATTCCCTAACCTGTTGAATTGTTGAAAATTCAATAGAAAATTTCAGCAAATGAGGGAACGACCCAATTGTTGAATTTTCAAACATCTGTTATTTGTTGAAAAGTTTCACGGAACTTTAAAAAGTAAAATATGACTTTTTATTGTTAGTTACTGTCGAAAATTGTTAGCCAGGTAAAAAGAACTACTAATAGACCTTCAAATTTGATTTATAAGTAAATAATGCGAGCTGATAATAGTAAAATGTTGCAGAGGTGCTATGACTTTTAGTAAAATAAGGTAATCACTCTGGCTTTTAACGGTTCAAGAAAATTTTTAAGAGCCTCGAGGTTGTTGAATCATCTTTGATATTTTTTTGTTTTTCTATTTAAAAAATTCTTCTAGGAATTGCCCAACTTTTTAGGATATTTCACCTCACCTGAGCTGGCTGGCTGAAACCGCGCCTTTAAGCTGTTCAAATGGTTGTGATGCTCGTTGGCGATCACGGCTGCTGCGACGGCATTTGCCACATGTTGCACGGAGGATGCATTGTTGTTACTGTTACTGTTGTTGTTATTATTGCTGTTGTTGTTGTTGTTATTATTCTGGGCGGGATTTCCGTTTCCACCATTTGCATTACCAGTTCCCGCCACAGCGGTATTATTGTTTCCACTGGGATTCCCATTGGATCCCTGATTGCCACATGCAACTGCAGCGGCCGCCGCAGCGGCAGCCGCATTGCAACCAGCAGCAGCAGCTGCTGCAGCTGCAGCGGCATTGCTCTGGGGATCCATGAAGGAGTTGCGCTGGTAGTGGGGATTCTCCTGGTAAATCCGCTGGTACGTCAGCGTGGGCAGAGTCCACGAGTTGTTGGTCTTGTAGTGGAAGTTGCCGGTGCCGAAAATGGAGTGGGTGTTGGTGTTACCGTTGTTGTTGCCGGCAGCAGCAGCAGCGGCGGCCGAAGAAAGTGTGTGGGCCAGCTGGGCGGCATGTTGCTGTTGCTGGTGGTGCTGCTGTTGCTGTTGCTGCTGCTGGTGGTGTTGCTGCTGCTGCTGTTGTTGCTGCTGCTGGTGTGTATGATGCGGGTGCAGCGTATGGCCATGATGTTGCTGCTGGGCGTGATGCTGAGAGTGCTGCTGTTGCTGTTGTTGCTGCTGCTGCAGGACGGCGGCAACATGCTGCTGGTGTGCCTGATGCTGCTGCTGCATGTGCTGCTGGTGCTGCTGCTGCTGATGTTGCTGCTGCTGCTGTGTTGCTGGTGGTGCAAGGCGGCTGTCTGCTGTTGCTGCTGCAATGCCCAGGCATTCACATTGTTGTTGCTCGCGGCCTGCCCTGCCCCTCCGCCTCCGCCTGCACTACTCTTTCCCGAATCATTGCTGCTAACACTGCTGCGATGGTTGTCCATGGTTCCCGAGGATCCTGTCATGCTGCCATCGTTGCCACTGTCGCTGTTGCCGCTGCTGCTGTTGTTGCCGCTGCTATTGTTGTTGGTGTTGCTGCCGCCGCTTACCGCCGCTGCAGCAGCAACTTGAGAGTTAAGTTGCTGGAAATACTGCGACAGCGTGGCATTGGCATGCTCCTGGGCGAAGAAACTGGTACACGAATTCGTATCCGACGACATGATCACTGGTTCTATAACTGGGTCCGATCCTCACTGGTAAATCCTTCACTGGTTTCGATTATTAAATGTTTTGCAGAGCCTAAGTGATCACCTCCTTGTGCTGAACGTGGTTGAATTTGCTGGTCAGCAGGATAAACTTTGGGCCACGGCCGAAAGTTGTGCGCATTGTCTTTACACTTGGTTCACTTTAGTATTCTTTATAGCATAAACTTTTGTCTGTGTTATCTGAAAATATTGTGCTTTCGTTTTGAAAAACCCAGATTAGTGTTGAGCACCTTTTTTTGTTACAGGTTTTTTTTTTCCTTTTTTTTGTCAGCCAATTGATAGCCAATTCGTTGTTGCTAATGCAGAGGTGATAGTGGGTTAAAAATGTCGGCAATGAATCAGTGTTCAGTGTTCGGTTAGGGAAGCGATTTTGATAGTGACTGATAATGAGCTGGCTTGTTTTCGTGTGGTCAGGGAATGCACTTTGTTTGCGTCTATTTTTGTATGTTTTCTATTTAGTTTCCATTATTTTTTATTGATGATCATGATGATAAGGAATAAGAAAAGGCATTGTATAGTTGTATAGTTTGCGCTTTCTTTCAGTTCAATTAATTTTGTATAATAAGTTTTTTGTGACGCTATAGAAATTTTGTAAGTGGAATCGACCGGTACAAAGGGCTTCCGTGTATTTTAAAGAATTTTTGCAATGGAAATTTTCACTGGCATTTAAGAATTTCTATTTGTTTTAAGGTAAAACAATCATATTACTATGTGCCGAATCAAACGGTAAATCGAATTAGCCGAGACAAAAGCTTAACGTTTTTTTCGAAATATTGTTTCATGAAGAATTTAGAATAGTTTCTATATGTAAATCAAAACAAATAAATTATTATTCGCCAAATCAATTGAATTATCCTTTATTCCGATGAATAACTCTTCTTTTTCTCTCAGCCTTTTGTTGAATACCTTTTCTTATTCTCAGAATTGGTTGCTGCTTAGAAATGAGATCGTTTTTTGCTTTGGGTTTTTGCTGTTTCGTATTTTTCTTTCTTGGGTTGGTTGTTTTGTAGAAAAATTAAAAATAAATTAAACTGTTTGAAATTGGATCCGTAACTTTGGCGCCGCTGGACAGAGATTCTCGAGAGATCTCCGGACCTCTCGTTCTTTCTCCCTCTGCCTGGTACTATCTCTCTCTCTCTTTCTGCGTATTTATTTCCTTTTAATAATAGTTGTTAGTCGTATGACACACACACACACTTCAGATTGATTTCACAATGGTTGCACTTGAAATATGTTTGAACAAAAAATATTTCCTTGAGTTCTAGTTCTTCTAGAACTATTTGTTGAAATCTTTGAAATCAATTTCAATTAATTTATTTTGTTGACGGTAGGAATATTTTTGTTTTTCCCGCTCGAGTTGCGAAAAGCACGGAACGAGCTGCGACGATTTTCACATGAGAACGCGATGCGACAGAATGCCGGCCGAGTAATTTTCTCGGTCTCAATGTCCGTCTCTGGTTTTCCTCTGCCGCCGCTGCAGTCGCCGCTGCAGCTGACGTCGCAGTCACCGCTACCGCTACCGCTCTCTCAGCCAGCTAAAATTGCAATTTTCTGCAAGTAAGTCGGCTTACGTAAAGGGCGGAGGTCCGAAAACAGCTCTCCCTCTCCCACTTTGATAATTGTTTTTCAGGTTCCTTTTTTTTTAACAAACGTTAGTACCGCAAAGTATTTGTATTTTTACTAAAGAATATTTTTACATACAGCAACGTGCAAAATAATAGTAATGGGGACTTGTTAATTGGATTTTTTATTTAATTAAAATTTAGGTAGTGTTTCTGTTTTTTTATAACAATAATAAAATTCTTATAAATATACGAAATAGTTGAGCACTTTATCGAATCGAAATAATATTACAAAATATTAAACATTAAAATTTTCTTAAATCAATATAAAATATGAACTTATTTTTTTATTGCCCTTTAATATTTCCGTAATTATAAACAAATGTTTTTTAATGTTCTATACTCTTTCCAATAAATTGTACACATTTCTTTATTTTTGCTTGCACTATTTGCCTATAAACAGGAAAGCACTGCTATTATTTTGAGCTTAGCTATGGTTGTTTGTATATACTCGGGGGCAAAAGCAGCGACGGCGACCGAGGCAGCGCTGCTGCGGCCAAGTCACGCGGATTTCAATATGACCCAAAGCCCACTGTCTAGCACAGTTCTAAGCACGTGTTGCGGACACACCGGCCACTCACACAGTCGCAAATTAATTCAGAGAGAGAGAGCAGTGCACGTTGAACGGCAAGCGCACTCGAAGATACGGATAGGCAGGCACAGATACAAATGTAGATAGGGTAGCAGATAGAGCTCAAAAGTTTCCAGTCGCTTCGCAATCGAGGGCTATATCGTACCCCCTGCAACTGGTATATACGTATGTATATATACCAGCTGGAGTGCGTGGCCAATGGCCGTGCCAATATTCGGTTAATTCGGCACTGATGCGTCTGCAACACGTGACGTATGCGTAATGTGCTTCACTGGATTGCCTCTGTGCCACCAACTAATTAACGCTGCGTCATTTCAAGTGGGCAGATCGTTTGGGGAAGTAGTGGGGGTCTGGAGCCGGGTGCTTCACCCTCTGGGTAAACCCAAAAGCGCGGCGTAGTAGCTGCAACGGAGCGTATACTTAATCTGTTGGCGTAGGTCGCAGTTTTTTTCTTGGAAATTTCGAAAAATATTCAAACTATTCGAGGGTTTATTCAGGTTTTTAAATTATTATAATAATAGTTTGCTGTTGGCATAGGTCCGGCACATTTTCTTGCAAGTTTTGTATTACATTTTCGTTATTTCCTAGCCTTTTATAACTTTGGTTTTTTTTATTGGTAATTGGCCTATTTTTGAGCAATGAATCAAGTTTTTCCCATTTATGTACTTAATAATCTACAATTGCTATAAAAAAAAATTTAAATTACGATAGCTGAGAAATAAAAATTGTACCCTAATTTTAAAATCGGTACATTTAACAGTAAAACATATTATATTTTAATCTTAATATCAAAAATTTGTATCTCAAAATAGTCGGTGACAAGAAATATTTAAAATAAAGTAGTTTGAAATCGTACATTTAAAAAATTTTTTTAGTTTGCCATATTATACATATCCTTCAAGCTTAAAAGTTTCCCCTTTTTAAGCCAATTCCTGCGAGTTCCAAGAATATCTTTGTAATTTTTCCACCCCAAAAACTTTTTATTCCGCCCACCTGTTTTTCAACCTTGTGCTATTCTTCGGTCAAACAAAGACCTATTCGCAACTGGGAACCCCATCCATTGCCATAGCCATGTGGACCATGTGGAAAAGCGTGCTTCAGTCACCTGTTTTCGAATATCGAGTATACGCCCCGTGGTGCACGGTGACTATTTTAGGAGATGCGAAAGCAACAAGTCAACTGAAACTTCGTAAAACGAGACAAAAAACGAGCGGGACTTCGGGCTCCAATGGCAGAAGGATGTGCGGCAGAGGATCGCTATTGGCCGGGCTTATATGCCGTGAAAGCCGAGAAAAGGGAACCAATCCGACGGATTCTGCCGACGACGACGCGGGCAGAGAATGACGTCGACAGCGACGCTGGCAGAGGCGGCGGCGTTGTCAGGTTTTCTGTTTGTTTTGTTGTGAGTTGTTGTATTTTGTGTTATCACGTTTCGCTACCACGTGCACCGGTCTCCGTTCGCTGGTGTGAGTATCTGTGTGAGTGTACGAGTGGCTCACTCACACTGGGAGCCCTCAAAAACACCCTCACACACACACACACACACCAGTAGACGGCACTCACATAGATACGCTGTGGCGCTTCGACGGATGAATGAGCCCTGAGAGCGGGAGAATTCGCTAAACAAAACCCAACTGAGGCCAAGACGAAGCTGTTGCTGGTTTATAAATAGCAATTTAAAGCATCACACACACATCCACGTATCGAATCAATGAGTCACACACACTCACACGGCATTATTTTGCATCTGAAGAACAAAAAATACAAATAAAAATAAAAAGGAAAAAAAAACACTGCATAGATGTGCAAATAAAGCAAATTGTGCAGAATAAATATCGGAAGCGGGAACAGAGAACAGATAAACAGAAACAGAAAGTAAACAAAATAATTGTTTCAATTTTTTAACGAGCACTTAAAGAAAAATATTTTATTTTTATTACTATTTTATTATTAAATATTTTGTAAACATTTACTGAAACTGTCTTTGAACGATTTTTATATTAATTCACAATAAAACCAATTTTTAAAATTTCTAATAATAAAGTCGCTATTCTTTTTTTCCTTGTGTTCGCTGCACATTAACCCAATTAAAGTCAATTTTTTTTGTGGTAGTTTTTTAAAGAATTCGTGTTTATGTTTGCTAGCAGTAATCTAATGAAGACAAAATAAATGCAAATATATTATAAAAATTTTTAAAAAATATATCGTTTCTACTTTTTTATGATATATTTTGTTTCCATGGAGTACTTGGAAATCGTGGAAAATTTTGTGCATTACTTCAATCAAATGTCGCCGCAGAATTGAGACACCATCACAAGGCAAAGGTGCAGCAAATCAAACCCTAATTAAACATTCTGCAATTTGCTGTGTTTGCATGGAAACCGTCTGGGGTTCTGGTTCCATATGGGGGTATTATGGATCCGCTGGAGAGCGGGGGCACCGGTCTGGCATGGCGACGTTCAAGTCATTATACACGTGTTAGTACAGCAGGTCGTAAATTAACATTTTGCTAAATAATTATTTAGAAATGCTGAAAAGCTTAAACGTTTTTACGATAGCACGACTGGCTTATTAAGAGCCTGCAACCAGTTGACCCAGATAGCGCAAATACGATTACATTTTAGGGTAAATAGGATAATATTCGTAGAACAGGGTAGTTAAACTAAGTTAGGGCAACTACCCAGTTAATTGTAATAATTTTAAATTATACGCTCAAAATAATATTTTTTTTTGAGCCACTAATAGTAATTTATTTATGACAAATTTTGATGACTAAAGGGAACTGCAATCATTTGATTATACGGGCAAATATTAGTAACACTATTAGTAATAAATAGGAATTAATTAATTAAAATATGTTCTGAACCATTTTACTGGGATCCCAAGTTCCCTAGAAATAATTAACAGCAAAATAATACTTCAAAGGTATAACAATAAACTGTTAACTATAAACTGCAATTAAAAGCTCACTTAAAAATAATTAAAAATAAATAATACCTTAAGAGATAGATTGATCAGCTAAATGGTTCAATTAATATCTTCAGACTTGATTGATAGATCATGAAATTGACCAATTAAAATAATATTTATAAAAATTGGCTAATTGTATATTATTTTATAGCTTAACTAGATAATGCTTTTATCAGCCCCTAAAAATACCCTTCAAGGTCTAAAACACGCCATATTTTCATTAATCAACTTAGCATTTTATAATCCAATCTCTTTAGTTTCTTTTTTTCTGACTAAACTTTCATTCATTGGCTAGCAATTCCAAAAGGCAAACATGCGCCATATCTACAAAAACCATCGGCTAAAATTTTACGGCTTTATAGAACAAGTTAACAGAAAATAAAAATTATATTGCGGGCGGCTTATCAGTAGGAACTTGGCCAACAGGTTGGTTTGCCTCGCCGCTGACCAGACAATAAACTGAAATTCCATATCTACAAGCAGACAGTTTTTTTTGTTGCGAGGGAATCAGGTGCAAAGTTGAAGTTCAGCAGTCGGAAATTGATTTACGTAATTAAAGTCGAAGGGAGATTGGGGCGGGCAGGGAAAAGCCCCCTTATCGCCCCGGCACTTTGGACTGGAAATTCGAGTAGCCAAAGAGACGAAGAAATAGCAACCAAGCTGACGTCGTCGCCTGGCCAAACATGTGACCCCGCGGGAAGAAAAGCAAAACAACAAACGAACAAGCGACGTCAGCAAACACGGCAATTCGATTTCGATTCCAATTGTTGTCGTAGGGTAAGACTAAGGCAGTATAAATTCTAATTAATCGCCAACGAGTCGTATGCGCGATATCCGAAGGGAATTTTCAGGGGGCGGCGGGAGATGTATCGCCTAATGTAAACGACTCTGCGCACGTGTTTCTGCCAACGGTTTTGCGTCCGCTGATGAGTTCCAATGTTTGAGCTGTCTGCTGGGGGTGGGGGTGAAGGGGGGGAGGATGACCGGAAGAGGGGGGAGGTGGTTGGTAGGCGGCCAGACAAACTGCCTTCAGCACAAAAAACAACGAATATGAGCACTCTGCGCTCAAAAGAGAGCAAAAGCGGAAGAGAGCATTCCCAGAGCTTTTCGCAGCTTTCCGTTTCGGTTTCACAAAACAGCCGCCAGGTGGCGCGAAAGCTTTTGTTGCACAGTGGAACAAATAGGTTGATTTTCCATTTTAAATAACACAAGAATACCAGCTATTTATTAAATTGAAAAAAAACGAAACCTTCTTAAAGTTAATACAATTTTGGGATAAATCAAA